GGATTTGATCGAATCCGAGGACGTTTTCCCTAAATCCGTACCATGCGAGTTGCCTAAGGATAAAGGCACTCGATATGAAATGAGCTCAAACCGGGCTCGAAGTACTACTTCATGAAGCAGTGGCCACTCCCTCGTTATCAAGTACTAGCGATCGAGAAGTTCTTTTCCGATCGTTTTGCAGCGAGCCATGTGAGGGAATCAACTTTCCCTAACATATCTTCGTCAGTCTGTGTGCGAAAGTCCACCGGAGGATGGCGGATAGTGCACGCATTTGACAAGTTGAATGCTGCAACGGTACCAACTCAGACACCGATGACGAGGAAGAAAGTAATCATTGATTGTATGTCAAAGAGTACCGTGTTCTCGTTCATGGATCTGATGGACGGCTTCTATTAGATCTTAATGCGTGAATAGGATGTCTCTTTCACAGCAGTGAGCACCCCAGCTGTATGCTGTGAGTGGCTAGTAATGCTACAAGGGCTTATCAACGCCCCTGAAACGTTCAACAGATGTGTGACCAATCTGTCGAGACCGGTGCGAGACTTCGAATCGAGTTACTTTGACAATATATCCGTCCATAATCGGGCTATGGGTGGACAGACGGGTGTCGAAGTCCACCGACTCCAAGTCCTAAAGTTTTGCAGATGAGAAGTTGTCTCGGTGAAATAGGGCGGGTACTTCTGCAAGAATGCTGTTGGACCAAGGAGCATATGCGTCTATGAATGTCGACTGGCACAAGCCATTTGTCTTCGCCTTGTTATTTTTGGATCAGAGCGTACGCCATGTTTACCATGATGTTTCCAAGAAGTGATGTTGCGCTAGCAGCGGATTTACACTTCTTGAGGTTAGCGTACAACTTATAATTGCGTATAAGTGTACAAACCTTTAGGACTTGGAGTCGGTGGACTTCGACACCCGTCTGTCCACCCATAGCCCGATTATGGACGGATATAGTGTCAAAGTAACTCGATTCGAAGTCTCGCACCGGTCTCGACAGATTGGTCACACATCTGTTGAACGTTTCCAGGGGCGTTGATAAGCCCTTGTAGCATTACTAGCCACTCACAGCATACAGCTGGGGTGCTCACTGCTGTGAAAGAGATATCCTATTCACGCATTAAGATCTAATAGAAGCCGTCCATCAGATCCATGAACGAGAACACGGTACTCTTTGACATACAATCAATGATTACTTTCTTCCTCGTCATCGGTGTCTGAGTTGGTACCGTTGCAGCATTCAACTTGTCAAATGCGTGCACTATCCGCCATCCTCCGGTGGACTTTCGCACACAGACTGACGAAGATATGTTAGGGAAAGTTGATTCCCTCACATGGCTCGCTGCAAAACGATCGGAAAAGAACTTCTCGATCGCTAGTACTTGATAACGAGGGAGTGGCCACTGCTTCATGAAGTAGTACTTCGAGCCCGGTTTGAGCTCATTTCATATCGAGTGCCTTTATCCTTAGGCAACTCGCATGGTACGGATTTAGGGAAAACGTCCTCGGATTCGATCAAATCCTTGTATAAAAGATTTGCCTGAAGCGAATTCCAAGATTGAGATGTGTATCGCTCAATCCGAGTCTTCTCATCGAGACACTTTCGTCCATTGATGAGCTGCTGAGAACCCGTTCGTTTTCAGCAAATACTGTCGCCGTCCAAATATCGGTCACATAACTTTCCTCTGTGACGAGTATACAGATCTTCCGGACCTTTCAACTGCGCAGATCACACAAGAACCGTTTCGGTTCTAGCGTTGGCAGCTGAGTGATCTCCATAGTCATCTTCGGAGGCGCGATACGATGAAGTGTATAAGCGCCTACACTTGACCCGTCACCAACCAAGACATTCAATATATCAATTTCTTTCTTGGAACCTATTTCTACAACATGTAGAGGACTTATTCCCTCAGGTTGATGAGGTCTCGTCGCTTCACCAATAACTGCTTGAGGAGTTTCATCCTCAAGTACGTGGGGAATTATTCCCTTGACGTCTTCCAGATGTGGTTGCTCTGCCACAGCTAAGTCCTCTACGATCGACTCTCCAGCCAATCTAGGATCGTCATGTTGTCCTGTGTGGGCAACTGGTTTGTTCTTTCTTGGATGTAGCGTGCTAGGCGTAAACCCATGTCTTGATTCACTCGACATGTTCGAGTGGTGGACCTTAGACGCGACCTGTGTCTCAACGCAGACGCCTAAATCTAGCTCCACAGTGTGGCAATTAGCCACACTGAGGCCTTGTGCAGTCGTAATAACAACCTTACCGCAAATGAGACCATCGCACTCACTCCCCGTACATCCGCACGATTGTAGACGCACGATGACGCTCATCAGATGGCCATCTGACCCTTGGTTCGAACTTGGTAAACCTAGGATGAAATCAAACGTGTCATCCAAATCAAGTAAGATGAAATCATCATCGAACTGCAAAGCTTCTAGCGTGTAGTGAGGTCTCACTAAACGTTCCATCAATGCTATCGATGCGTCTGATGCTAAGCGCACCTTCACCTCGTCAAGGGATATCGCGCTCAACAAATTTGAGCCTACGATGATCCTAGCGATTGGCGACGAACAAAGTTGTTCAAAGCCCCACAGTATACCAGGTTACGAAGTGACAATTTTTTGTCACCTCTTAGTTCAAGGTGATAAGGTGCTTTTCATCACTAAGTGCAGAGGCACACATCGATTGTAAGTCTGGAAAACTTTCATCAAGAGGTTTTTAGTTTCTCTTGATGTTGCTGGATCATCAGGGCACTCCTTTGTACTGATACTGACCGTTTTTTGACGGTCCACTACGATGTTGAGATTTTGCAACAACTTCGGACCCGCGTTCGTTGCCCTTATTGGAAAATGGTCGAACCGTTCGCTTAGTGTTCAAGACACTGAGCGTAAAGCGCTACACTCGTAAGCGTATTTTCCCAGCTTCTGACAGCGATTGCACTTCTGCAATCGCTTGTTGTCTGAAGAGCGAGGTCTCTCGCTTTTGACATAACAGAGGTCCATAGGTTCTGGACCTCCGACTTCTTGTCGTCTTAGGAGACGATATGAACCCGGACTAACATGAGCCTGTCTCAAGCAAAAGGCTTCCTGTTTCGCAATTGATATCGCTTCTTCTAGTGTATCCAGTTCCAAGTGGAGCAGATGAGGCTTGACATGACCATCCGCAAGACCCTGCATAAACACAGTGATCAATGTGTGTTTAGGAACGAGGTTGGCCGTGATACAACTCGCAAGGATTCGTTTGTGTTAAAGGTAAGTGCGCACATCAAGCTTACCCAGCTTGAGTTTCAGGAGCTCTGATCTAGCCTTTGGCGGTCCAAACGTTTGTCTAAGCCGAGTCTTGAAGACCTTTAACAACCCAAACACATGTGGGTCGTGCAACTTGAGCCCTAATGCCCAGGTTTTGACACGTCCAGCCAGGTTAAACTGAGCAAATGCGAATTGCATTTGCTCATCGATGATGTGACAAGTCCTTATGGTGCTGTTCAATTCGACAATTCATCTCAGCAGGGAGTCTTCCTCGACTCCTTTGTACTTTGAGATGTCTATCTTCAAATTTTCGGACCGAGACGCCCCGGGAACAGCAGCATGTGCCTGCTGTTGTCTCAACAGCTCGAACTGTTGAGCACTCTGTTCTCTTAACAGCTCTGCCTGTTGAGAACCTTGTTGGTGAAGCAAGCCTAATTCTCCCGTGACTCGTCAAGTTCATGTTGTTTGAACTTGGCGACGGCGGCTTGCTGTCCATCTCTGTCCAGTGCGGACAGCATGACAGAGACAGCATGTTCGCCCACGGTCGAACCCATTCGTTTGATTGCAAACCATTAGGTGTCGCTCAAATAGGAGTATCTTTCACGCCATGCGTGAAAGCTGTCACTATCATCATCCAACACGTTCATGTTGGATGTAGGATTTGCGGTCGTTGAACGGACTACAAAGTGCTACCAGGTGTAACAAGGCACACCTTATTCAGCCAACTGAATAAACACGTTGCTTCTTACAGTGTAAAGGTGTTTGCGTCCGACTACCTGACGTACACGTACGTGCAGAGGTAGATTGGTAGATGTAGTAAGAGTACTTAGTACAGTTAAAAGTGAAACTTAGTCTAGTATAGTTAATTCTTACATCAAACCCTTTTCTGAATGCATTTAAGTATGTCTAAATACAAACAAGTATTGTAACGATCTGCTCACCACTCATTGCGCGCGTCCATCGTTGATTGGACCGCTAGAGCTGGCTGATATGATGGCCCATATCAGCCAATCGGTGAGTGTTTCGAAATGTTACTCCTTATGGTAATATTCACGAGCATTATCAACCTTTACGATAATATTCAAAGTAACAAGTATCGAGGGCTAATTACATGTAACAGGCTCACCCCGTCACAGCTCTTAAGACTTCGGCTTGCACTTTTGACTCGGACTGCTGTGTATGATGAATTCGAACGCGATGTGGATAGGCCGACTGGGAGGGCAACATAAAATTGTAGTGCTTTGCCTGTCACGTCTTCTGCATTTGCAACATGTTCGGCGTGCAGATGAGATCCAACAAGTCAGCACTTCGCTGTGCGGACCTCAGTTTTCAATTTGGTCATTCTTTGTTAAGCTCTTCGCCAGGTCCAATGACACTAAACGAAGACGATACCGACTAGGTCGACGGGAGTGGAGAGGGGTCTCGTAGCACATCCAGGGCACGTCTCGTCGGTTGGCACATTTCATCACGCTACTGTTTGTCCACGCGGCTATAAGTTTGCCATCAAAAGTCAGATGTCCGTTGTTCGACAGAGACGGGCACGGCATGAGCGTCAAGGCGACGCCGTAAAGCAGGAATTGGACTTCGACTCCTTCATCACATCAGCAAGTCACTGCTGCAGCTGATGAACGTCGATGCAAGAGTTGACTGGTCTGTCAATTTGCGTCGATGCATCAAACATGTGCGGTCATGTATCAAGTGCGTGCACTGAAGGGATGCGAGTTCGATCAACTTATTACACTCTTCATGACCTGTCACTCCTCGACCACCGTGCTGCAAGTTACTGGCCTTGAGTACCAAAGCTGGTAACGAGGCAGTGATGACTGCTCTACGACCTGTGTTCGAAGGCAAGTTGAAACATTTCCACGACGAGAACGGCCAGCAGCGTAGGATTTCACACCGACATCTCCCCTTCCCAATTGCTCCTTTCTATTGGAGTTCGGCCCTACTAAGATTTGCCAGTGTGGACGTCGACCTTCGGTAGCGTCACTGTTACAGGTTGCCACATCAGCGTCAATGTCGTAACATACAATTTGTGCAAGCTGGTGATATGTACCACTAACCCTTCGTCTCCATCGCTCTGCAATGCTCGGGTACGCAAAGTGACTGTAAGAACACACGACTGTGTGAGACGCATACTGGTAAAGAGTATCCTCGCACAATTAATCGCAAGAGCAATCAGTTAACACCGTCCTGAAGACGTAGCTTGATTCCTCTCCTGCGCCCTGTATCAAACGTACCGAGTTTTCCACCGACGCTCAGACGCGTAAGCAGAAGTAAGTGTACTTTGCTACACAATATCTCAAACCTGCAGACCGATGTAGTAGGGACATCATGCCACGTTGACAACGGCAATTGCATTACTATATGAACAGAAGTACCATTCAAACCCCGCACTTCCCTTCCATCCCATACACGACCAATGAGGCTGCCCACAGTAAAGGTCCACATGGCGTAGCACTGTCGATATCAGGATCCGCAACTTCAATACGTCGATGCTGCGGCGATGGTACCAACTCGCATGACAAAAGTACCCAAAAGGATGAATCCGTTCTGGAACACGATCGCAGCTCCTGGCCACGCCGACTCATTGTACTTGTTGTTGACATACGTGTGCGTAAACACCACCACCGAAGCCACCAGCGAAGCAACAGACAGAGCCATGCAGGACACGACGAAGCATCTATGATAAAGCAGCAGCAGCAGAGTATAGTACAGATCGTAAGAAAGATTGACAGCAGTACTACAACTGATGAATCGACTCCACACACCGCGCTCGAGTGGCTACTTCCGAGCCATAAGTAAAGCGCGTGTCTTCCGACAGCATGTCCCAGTTGACCGTGTTCGTCCTAAATCAATTCGACCGCAAACGACGCTGTGAGTGCCGCACTGCAAGCCAAACGTGCCGTTTGTAACAGTCCTGAGATCGAGGAGCAGCGACGACGCACAGGAAGAAGGCGAGCGTGGCGACGGTCCCTGGCAGGTACTTCACAATGTCGAAAGAGATGTGCGAGTCGCGAGAGGCCGCCGAAGCCGCACCGTCCGCTAGGATCCACCAGCCAATTCCCACTAGGACTCCGGCCGCATAGCAACTCCCTTTGCCCATATCGACGCCCATTTCAAGATGAAGGCTGAGATCCGACTTAACTGTGGCGTCTGACAAATGTCGTTACGTTAGGGCGTGGGATTCTCTCTTTTAATATCAGGTACACGACCGAGCGTCGATAACGAGACGACATCGACCAAAGTATCGGTTGTCGCCGTTTAGAAATAGAAACGAAACAGAATAAACCACTTTTTTCGTGTCGTGGAATTCGTCCGTCAAAAGTCCCATTTCGAGCGAAATGGAGCTGTCTAGTGCTGCGGGCGCCTTGCGCACACTCAAGAACCGGCCAAAAGTCCCTCAAAGCGCTGTGGACACGGCGCAAGCTATTTTGCACATTCTACTTCCTTCAGATCCAGTCTCCGTGTGCACTGACGAAGCAACGCGCCGTGAGGGACTGCAGCAGGAACTACAGACTCTACTTTTGTATGGTCGCGAGCGCTGGGAACCGCTTGCTGTGTTTTTTGTCGTCGTGCGGGACATTTTGGGTCGGTCCGTCGACATTTGTCCGAATCCGGATAAACCTGTCGACGAGGTTTTTTTTCGGTCAATGTCTAAAATTAGAGACTCCGCACGTTGTGTCCACGACTTTATCGGAGACTTTCGTGACGCAAACAATCAAGCACGCGGTGCATCAATACTTGGAGTACTATGAGCCGCGAGTTCGCATGGCAATTGCCACTTTGCTCGGTGTTTTAGCCAAGTGGGACCTCGCGTGGGTCTCGCACACGTTTTTGCCGCAACTCGTGGACTCGATCGAGGCAAATCTCAGTCGCTCACCTGAGTTTGAAGACACTGGATTCGACGAAATGGATGATAACATCAGTACGAATGGCATGACGACACCGCCGCTATCTCCCTCGGGTCAAGAGACGACGCCACGGACGCCATCGACGCCTTATCGACTGGACGACGTGAGCGGCTGGAAAGCACTGGAGAGTTCGTTGTGTGCACTCAAGTACATTATCAAAGCAAGTGGCCAAGCGTTCCTGGAAAAGACAAGACACAAGTCGGAGACGAGGGGCACGAGTTTGTCTATTTGACGCCGTCGCTCGTGACTCTTGTGGCAACCAAGAGCTGTTTTCATATAAATCGCCACGTGCGAGTCGTGGGGCTTGACACGGTCACAGTACTCGCGGATATTGCTCCTGTGGGGTTCCTAGAAGCTCATCGTCCGACTGTGAGCGACATCTTGAACAAGTGCATCAAGCGCGGCCTGGAGGACAATTGGTGCCAAGTGCGCTACGCTGCGTCAATCGCAGCACGCATGTTTTTGCTGAAGTTGCAGGATCAGGGAAGGAAGGCGTATTTGCCTATCTTGCTCCCGAGACTGTGTCTGAATCGCTATTACATTGCCGAGCGCGTGCAAAAGTACTCACAAGAGTCGTGGACAATGATTGTGGGTACCCATGGGCGCGAGTTAGTCGCCACGTATGCCAACGAGATTGTGGACTATTACGTGGAGATGACGAGCCACTGTGTCCGCGAATCGGCGTGCCAGTGCATTGCCGAACTCGGGATGAAAGTTGATCCGACAGCGATTCGCCCACACGTTGGCCGTCTTATGCAGGCTCTCCTCATTTGCTTCTACGATGTTTCGAATTTAGTGCGTGACGCAGCGTGCCTGGCTTCAGCACAGCTGGTGCTTGGTTTTCCTGAGGAGTGCCGTCCGTTCCTCGAGGAGTTATACCGCTTGTGGATTGACCATCTTTCAGATTACGTTTGGTCCGTGCGCGAAGACGCTGCTATTGCTCTTGGTAATGTGATCCGTGCATATGGCAAAGAAGCACTTGACCGCGTGGTCGATGTCACTCAAGAGTACTTGCCGCTGGCGGAGAAGCAGCCGGCCATGACACAGCTAGAGTACGATGAATTGATGCGGTCGGAAAAGAAGCACTTGAGCAAGCAGGCTTTCTCTTGCTGCTCACTAGAGCCTAAACTGTTCGAACGCCACGAACACCGTGAGAAGGAACCGTGGGAGTACACTGACGGTGCGATTTACATGGTGCGGGAGCTTTGCAGTGTGGCTCCCGACGTTGCTGTGAAATATCTGCCGCAAGTCGCGGACATTGCGATTCTTCGTCATTTTCCTCAAACAGCTGTCCTGCAGGAAACGATTTGGAAACAGCTGCCTGTTATGTGCGAGACGTTGGGCAAGAAGGTGTTCAAGCGATACCTCGAGCTATTCTTCGACCCTCTGGTCTTTACGCTCCAGGGCACGAACCGTCTCGCAACGTTCGCTGCCCGTGATTGTGTCGCACAAATCAGTAAACAGATTGGACCTAGCATCTTTCTGGGCCGCCTGGATGCGAACGCAGCGTGGAAAGAGGTTTTGGGTCCTGTTGTACCGGTGCAGCCGTACATGATGAAGTAGCCGATCAGTTGATGTCGAGAGTTCAAGAGCGCGAGCTGAAAATTGGCACGGGTCACGTTCTGCTTCTTTGCATTACACGTGAGCTCACGTTGTTGATAGCTGAGGGTGAACGTGTCTCCATGACGTGGCAGAGACAATCGGTGATGTTAAACAGTGATGTGCACAGGACAGAGAGAAGCTGACTTGGTTGACTAATTGATGGCATAAAAACTACGAATCATATCAGCAGCTAGTACCAGCGCAAGCATGGACACATTCCAACATGCTCTGCTACTCAAACGTTTCTCTGCCGCCTGCTGCGTCTTTTGTTGTAATTCCAGTAACATACGGTCGTTCCGTGTCTTCCGCGGAGGACAATTACAATCGACTTCTCTACATTAAGAGTGATAGTGCCGTGTTGGGCTTCGAGGTGTCTAAAGTACAAAAACTCGACCATTGGACTGGTATGCTGCAACCGCTTTCACCTGTTACATCGCGCAGTACCACATTGACGCATTTCGGACGACAGAGGCACACTAATCAGCAACCAGTGGCTAGTACCCTACCTAGTCAACAACGTTTACTCGGAAGAAATGTGAAGAAGTAGGCAAAGCATTTTATGCCGTAGAGATGTGGGCAGGGCAAGCTTTCAAGAACGCAGGCACAACATGTATGGTGTCATATTAACAACGTCGACGGTACAAAGCAGTTCGCTGCTCTTCATGGTCAGGGGGCGACTTCATCTCCGCAAGACAAGTCCATCTCAGAGCTTCTGTTTTTGGGCAAATCGTAGCTTTTTTTTCTAATGCGTCAAACTACTAGCTCAAGCCTGCTGCAAGAAGCATTCGATCGCACACCAATCATACTCTTGAGAAGAGCAGAACGTGTCCGGTCAGCCACCAGCAAGATCACAGTTTGTGATTTTTCTGGATACCTATTCTTTCTTTGCAGCTTTCTGGTGAATTACCGCCTCCCTGTGGGGCTAACAGCCGGCAGACAATCGCATACATTACCCCCTGATCGAGAATGTCATGGCCTAAGAACGTGCAAGATGGTAGCTTGGGTGGCAAGGGTCATAGTCATGACGGGTTGATGTTGATGCTTTGTATTGGTGGAGCGACCTCAAGATACGAATAACGTCGAAGAGTGAATCGTGATGACATGGGTCAGCCAGTGAGACAAATGGTTGATGAGAGTCGGATTCTCATTACAGTCGCTATTGCGAACCCCGATGAGAAATTAAATGGGGACAATGTAGTTAAATCCAGGGAATTTCAGTGACAAAGATTTCGAGGATATCGAGAACAAGTGCTTCGTCTAGGAAACAAGGGGGTAGCGTAACGAAACATGGTATCTCGCTACAACACGCTTCCCACAACAATCACATTACCGCCTTTAAAAAGAACACTGTGCTGACCTCATTCCACCTGCCGTTTGTACCGTGGAAACCCATTCTTTTGGAAGACCGAAATGAGTGATCTACATGTTCTTCCGCTACCCTCCGCCTTCAAGCAAAAAGTTGTGCTATGCTCCAGAATGCAAAGGAACTGGCCACGTCTGTGTACGCGATTGTCGTGAAAAGGTCGGCGAAGTAATTAATGCACCTTGTGTCAGAGTTGTATATGCGCTGTGCTCAGGGAGTCGAACATCGCTCTCGGTCGTCTGCGGAAACATCGGTGTAAGTGAGGTCAAGAGAAATAATGTGCTGTACCTATGAGTTCGTCTTTCTTTTGAACAACGAAAAGTGGTCTATGAACACAGTAAAGAATTCTGATAGAGATGTTCATGCTGCGGCTATGATGACGAAATGAGGGCAAAACCTTTCGCTCGACGGGTCCGTGGAACGGTAGCCGTCGTACATCACATCTTGAACTTGACGAAGTCAATGCGACTCCGGAGTTTCATTCAGACTTGCCACCGAAACAACACTCCGACTTCCAGGGTAGACATTGATAGTACTATCCACAAGGAAAGGCAGAAAGAGAGCCATCTACGATCGTAATGAAAACCACAATGGAGAAGTTGAACATAAACGAATTGAATGACGTCGAACCCGACGAGCAAAACGTGCTACCCACGTATCTTTTTCATCCTGAGCCAATGATAGAAGCTACACACGACAGCGCATTTAAAGGTCCGACGCTTCTTAACATTGCTGCAACTCAATCAATACCTGCATGATGCATTGATGCCGCGCCGCGACTGCAACTCTTCACAAAAGCTCTGTTTTACTTCAACTTCGGCATGGTTTTGGCAGCTCTATATTTTCGTTCATTTCTGTAAATATTCTACTTCTTTGGCTCTGACCTGACCAGGTTTTACTGGGTCGATCGGGGGTGGTCCGGGTCACGCATCGGTCGAGGTCTGGCTCGACCAATGCCCCGGGTTGAGCATTAGTTGAGGGAAGCAACCACTTTCAGCTT